TCGCGGTCGTTACACAATTGGTCGGGGTCCAGTTACACAACTGGTCGGGGTCCAGTTACACAACTGGTCGGGGTCCAGTTACACAACTGGTCAGGCTCTGGTTACACAACTGGTCGGGGTCCAGTTACACAACTGGTGGGGTTTCAGTTACACAACTGGTCGGGGTCCGCTTACACAACTGGTTATAATATGTGTGTGTGTGTGTATGTGCAGAAATAATATTAATAAAACAATTAACACTGTGTAGTGTACTCTATATATCAAAATATATTACTTTGAAACCCATATCATTCACTAAAAAAAGATTGGGCTACTCTTGTTACAAGTTCGCTACTTTTAGACCGTCAGCTCGCTACTTTCCGCACTTTAGATCTGGCAACCGTGGTCCCCTCCCGGGAGCCAGCCACCAGTGTCCCAGTGTGTGTGTGGTGACGGTGTGGCGTCTCGTACAGTGCTGCATCCCCTCTCAGTTACATCAAGGTACTCTTACTTTTATCATGCTTAGGTCTCGTGGATATGTACATACTGTAAAGTATATATATAATGGCTTCACGTTTGTTATTGAAGTCTAGTTTAGTTAATTTATTATACCCATCCTGTGGCCGTACTGGAACTTTCCGAATAATTTCTCATTATTGGCCTATTATTTAAGAAAACATTCTGGAAGCTTCGTATAACAAATGATACAGTACATGTATGATATATAGACAATATGTAAACTGATTTGTGTATGCTTATAAATATTGTTTTTTTATATAAAACATTAGTTAATCCAGAGGTAACTAAGAGCGATCATTGTCATCATGTCCCTTAAGCTCTTGAACTCTTCGTGAACTGGCCTTAAGATCTCAATGATCATGGTCCATACCATTATTTCAGAAAGAACTATTAACTCTTCATTACCAGTAGCCAGCCTTAGGCTTGGATGCTGCATAAACTACTAGTAAACAGCATTGTTCAAATCTTCATACCTAGAAGGTTTCAGAGTTTTAGTCTACCCCTACTCCAACAATACTCCTTCTCTGGGGCTGATCCCGTGTGTTCAGGTTTTGAAGAACCTAACTGGCATCAACATATAGTATTTGGTGATTTTTTTCCTTTCAAGCTTTATGCATGTTCCTTTATAGGCCTTTAGCCTCTGAAGTTCTTTTTTTTTTTTTTTTGAGATATATACAAAAGTTGTTACACTCTTGTATAGCGACTAGTACGCTTAGCGTTTCGGGCAGGTCCCTGGAATACGATCCCCGCCGCGAAGAATCATAATTTGGTTGGTAATACTCAAAAAGGTTGAGTATACTTAAGATAGTGTAAGATAGAGATAAGATAGAGAGGGAGCCGAGCGGACAGCACGCTGGACTTGTGATTCTGTGGTCCCGGGGTTGATCCCGGGTGCCGGCGAGAAACAATGGGCAGAATTTCTTTCACCCTATGCCCCTGTTACCTAGCAGTAAAATAGGTACCTGGGTGTTAGTCAGCTGTCACGAGCTGCTTCCTGGGGGTGGAGGCCTGGTCGAGGACCGGGCCGCGGGGACACTAAAGCCCCAAAATCATCTCAAGATAACTCGAGAAGATAGTGTGCGTACTGTACAGGACCAAGTCAAGATCAACCATTCTCTACTTAATATCAATAGCTGTCTGTGTACAGTATATCGGGTAACGTGACTGTATCATACGAGTGTTTTGGTTTTCTCATAGGGGCACCCCTTTATTAAAAGTATACTCTTCTCATGAGTAATCTGCATGTAAACAAAATAATCACTTTTTTTTTTTTCTTTTTCTTTTCCAGATGATTATTCCTATCCGGTGTTTCACATGTGGAAAGGTCATTGGTAACAAATGGGAGAGTTACCTGGGGCTTTTGTCAGCGGAGTATACTGAAGGGTGAGTTTCTCGAAGTTAATGTAAATACAGTACTGTATGAGCTCGGTTATCCAAAGGCTGCTAAACTGGATGTTTGAGTTATCTGGCCAAAATCGCATCTAGATAAAACTTTGCCATGTCCCAACTGAAATCCGGAGATTTGGCTAGATAACGCAGACTGGCATAGTCTAAGTCCGTATAATTTTGTGGCAAAACTTTGCCACATCTGGACAAAAATCCGAATAACTGGAAATTAGGTTAGTACTTACATTTTCAAGGACTATACATTTAAAGATTTACAGTATCAAACAAGACGAACTACAAAGTAAGCTGAAGTTTGTTTAAAATTACTGTATTTTTTATTTATAGTGTATGTGGAAATTGTGTATGTTGAATTATGTTGATTGTGGTACAAAAAATTTTGAATATTCATTTTTGAACACCCTCTGATAAAAATTGTGCTTATGTGTCTAGCTTATCAGATGAGGGGCCCTTCCTATATTTTGTCTGGGTAAGTGAGGTTAGTACATTACCCTGTACATTTTGTACTGTGTACAAAACATATTAGTATCTGTATAAATGATGTTTATTGGTTACTTTCAAGCATTCACTTTGTGACATGCTCATTCCTACTCCTTTTTGTAGTTAGATATTCTTTGAACATGCAAATATACAAGAAAATGCATGGAAAATAGTCATAACTTTCTGGGATCTACCCAACACAATGAAACATGAAACTTGTAAAAGAATGGTACTCTATATCCATGACTGCACTCTTTTAAAATAGTTGCTGAATTTAAGTTCCATTTCATCAGTTTGGGCTAAGAGTATCAGAAATATCCCATAGATCTAGACCACAAAAAACAGGAGGAATACTTCGTATTGGAATGATCAATCGAAGCTATGTGTACTCCTACCAATACTGAACTGTACTTGGAAAAACAAATAGTATTCCCATGCTTCTTGGGATGAGATAAGGCAGCAACAGACTCCCCCCCCCCCCCCCCCCAACAAAACTATTCAGTGTAACTTTTATTAGTTTTGCCAATATTCAAGCTATAAATACAAAGTCCATATAGGTGGCTTTGTTACATAGATAAATACACACTTGAAAGCCCCCACAGAAACCCGTTCTAGGGTTTACATGAACAGTGAAGGTTGGATTCCAAATTACATATATTAATGTGAGATTGTAAAGAACTCAAATTGGAATAGGTCTTATTTTAAATACTGTTGCACAGAGAGCTATTAAGATCCTCAAATGATGTAGTGGAGACATTAGGTGTCAAAAAAAAAGAAACTAATAATTATCCTATTAAGCAACCCCCATGATGCCACAGCCAAAAAATTTGGCTGTGAAGAGGTCCAGTTACACAACTGGTGGGGTTTCAGTTACACAACTGGTCGGGGTCCAGTTACACAACTGGTAGGGTTTCCGTTACACAACTGGTCGGGGGTCCGCTTACACAACTGGTTATAATGTGTGTGTGTGTATGTGCAGAAATAATATTAATAAAACAATGAACATTGTGTACAGTGTACATAAGGTGGGTTCCAACAGCATATTGCAAGGGTGGAGCTTAAGAAATGCTTTACCAAATTTATGAGCGAAGGAAAACCCATCCCAAGTGCCCAGAAAGAGGGGCCTATGAGAACAGCCCTACAAGAAATGCTTGATGTACAAGCTGCCACCTCCAAAAACAACCCGTGAGAGAAACATTAGTAGAGAAAGTGACACGAAGACTGGAGTGTTAAATATTTTATGATGGCTAGCTGACATCTACAGCATACCCTTATTCATCCCAGTTGATGAAATCAGAGGGTTTATCAACACATTCAACACACTTTCAAACTTTGAATGTGGACGGTTCTGAAGATGAAAAAGTCCAGAATCCAGAAAATGAAATGGTAAAAGACCAATGCTACAATGAAAGAATCTAGGGGTGTTCCATTTAGAGTGAAAATGTAACTTAAGGTTGCAAAGTGAAAAACTAGAAACACAAATGAGTTGGGTGTAATGCAAGAGTAAGCAATTAGAATGGACAGAATAAATAGGTAGTAGAGATGAAACTCCAAAACTTCAAAATATGACAGAATTATGTTAAGTTGTGAGTACAGTTGGATTAAGTACCCAAAAGTGAAGATGCAGGCCTAAAAGCTATAAGTCCCCGCCTCTGGCACTGTTCATGACATTTGTGAGACCGAAATTAGAATATGCATCATTGGTGTGGTGTCCGCATCTCAAAGAAACATATCAATAAATATGATAATGCAAAGATATGCTACTAAATGGCTTCCGTAACTAAGAAACTAAAACCATGAGAAGAGGCAGGAGCTATTAATATACAGAAGCTAGAAGATAAAGGGAAAAAGAGGCATTACAAACACCACATAAAATAGACAAGAATCAACACATTTGTTAAAGAGGAATTTTTGAAATGTGCAACTTGACTTTCACTGGCCCGGCGAGCCACCTGCATTGCAATGCAAGGTAGGCCTGGCATTGCCCGTCAGCCCACAACCCAATGTTTAATTAAACCTTCACTCACAATGTTTATACTTACTAATAAGAATAAGCAAAAATTCATTGTTGGTGTTGACGTCATGCCTCAAACTGTGTGTATTGTTTTAATGAATACGCGAACGTCATCACGACACCAGAGTGTTAAAAGACCAAGAAGCTACATATTAAAGCTAAAAAACACATACAGAAGCTCTGTCTGCAAAAAGATACACTAGTTGTGTAGGATGCCAAAATAAAGTTTTTAAGCATCATATGACAAATGCAAATAAGTACATTCTCATGAAATGAGTTTCTAGAAGGCTTCAAATGAGGTGGGTAACGGCTCTTGCCTGCAGTTTCACTAGGTATGCCATTTGATGGCCCTTATGGACCTTAGTCTTGGTTAAAAAAAAAAAAGGGAGTGGGGGGGGGAGACCCCACAAGTGTAGTTCGTTATGTAATTGCAGTGTAACTACAGTTATGTAATTGCACACTGCTTTATTTTTTAAGTGCTGTATTCACTCATGAAAGGTTTTCTTGTCAGTGATGCACTTGATGCTCTGGGCTTAAAGCGATACTGTTGCCGAAGGATGCTCCTGGGCCACGTGGACCTCATTGAGAAGCTTCTCAACTATGCCCCATTGGAGAAGTAATGAGGTGAGTTCAATCCAAATGTTAATTTATCAAGAAAACCCTTAATAATTTGTTAATTCTGGATCTATCTACAGTATAGCCCTAATGTCTTGCTTACTCTTGGGAGCTACCCATTAGGGGGGGGGGGGGTGGCCTCAGCATTTTTTTTTTTTTTTTTTTTTTTTTTTTTTTTAAGGAGACTTTATTAACACAATCCTTGCACTTTTTCAAGCTCTGACATGCTATTTTGGCCCCCCCCTCCCCTTCCCCAGGTAAGTTCTTCACCAGAAGGGTTAACCCCTGCCCCCAATCCTTTTGATTCAGAAATCCAATATTGCTTGTAATTTATTTGAAGTTAACTCAAATTGTGTTAGGTTGGTCATTTAAATCATATAGGTGTAAACTAACTGGAGGATGAAACTGTAAAATCATCTATTCACCTGTTTTAGAATCCTATTCCTTTCATGTATTATTAGCCAGTAATACATTGTTTTAATTGATAAAAGAAACAGGCTTTGTACTAATAAACTATGATGTTAAACATATTTCACTTAGTTACACATGGTATTTACAGTAGTGTACTTAACCAGGTATCAACCAGGTATGCTAATCTGGAAAAGGTTTGGATTTTGGGGTTGCACTGAATACGACAACAAAACTGGCTAAACCTTTCATAGTTAGGAAACCTTAATAGCTCTGAAGGGGTCTGGTGTATCAAGGTCCCACTATACTGTAAATGTATAATGTGTTATATTGAGACCTGAGCATTACTGTAGTACAGATACAACAAAAATATGTATGTATTTATTTATCAGATTTTTTATAACATTTTGAATTGTTTCAGTTCTGCAATTGTACTGTAGTTATATGTGCTCCTTACAGATTTTGGTTGATGGAAAATGTACTTCAAGGTAATGCTGTAAAGAATTGAGGAGGAACCCCTTAGCATATCTTGCCCATAATGTCTTGCTTGACGATCAAAAGTTAATAAAAACAGAATACTGTACTGTAATTTTATTTTTCTTCTCCTTTTATTCCATAATTTGCTGGATTATCAAAATACTGTAGTTCTTTTCACTCAGTGTTAAATCTTTAATTTATCACTTGGTAGTCATACAGTACTTTTCGAGCAACACTGCAGGGGGCTACATTCCTGTAAAAACATTCAAATTAAACTTAAAGCTATATGGGAGAAACAGGGTTAGGCTACAAAATCCTTTAATTATCAACTCCTCCACTTTGCTTAATAAAAAGCCTATTTTAGCATTAATATTTGATACTTCCTTTGCTTTTGTCACAAAGTCCAGACTGCTTGGGCTTTGCAGTGAGATAGGTTGAAAACTCCTGAAGTTCATAGTCAGGCTCTTTACAGTATGTGTAAAGCCTAACATTGCCATGAATGCAGTAGACCTGAAGATTTGCAGTCATTATTTGCCAATTTCCCACTACTTGGTCAAAAAACATCAACCTGGATGAAATATGAGAGCAATACAGTACTGTATTGGGAAAGAATGTTAATAGATACAGTATTCAAAAGGGCTGTATACTTATTTGTCACTATTAAACCCTCCACAATAGTTCCCTATTGCATCATACAATCAGGTGTAATGTGCTTCCATTTGAATTAAAAATGTTTGCACCCAGCAGGCTTTGTTTGTGATGTTTTGAGGCACCTACAGTATAGTGTGTCCCATACCAAAACAATCAAGTGTACTTAAAAGTAATGTTGTAAAGTGCCAGATTATTATTATTAAGTGCCAGATTTTCGAAAAGCTGATTTTAATAGTAAAAGAAATTTTTTGGGTGAAATAAATTGGAAAGTCTTGGACATGGGGAGTGGGCTGGTCTTTGAGGGAGATGTGAACCCAGCGATGGGTGATGTAAAAAGAGATTTCGATGTCGATTAAAAAATAACTTGTTTAAAAAAAATTCTAAGCAAAGCACAGGAACATAGTATATCATAATAATTGATTAGAGCGAATAATATTGACCCAAAATGAATAACAAGGGATCTGAAGAAACTTATAGGTAGAAAAAGAGAGCTTGGTTCAAAAGTATTAGGAATGGGGAAGTAAGTTTAGAACAAGAATTCGTCCAATTGGTTAGAAATGTTAAAAAAGGAGGGCAAAAAAGAAACTGAAGTTAGCATAGCAGGGCAAGCAAAGACAAATCCTAAAGTTTTTTCAGTTATATCGAACAAAGATTAGGGAAAGGATAAGTTCGTTAAAAACTGAGACAGATCATATAACTGATAATGACGCAGAGATGTGTAGTATTTTTAATAAATATTTTTATCTCTGTTTACTAAAGAAGAACTGAACATTATGCCTTCAAACAAGTTTATGTATGTGGGGAAGAGGACAGGTTGACTAGTTTAGCAGTTGCCAGGGACGATGTTATTAAACAAATAGTGAAACTCGAGCCAAACAATTCCCCAGGGCCGGACGAAGTGTTTGCCAGGGTGCTTAAGGAATGTAAAGACGAGCTTTGCGAGCCATTTTCTACCATATTTAATTATTTAAATTAATATCATTAGTCAGGCAGAGTGTGGAAGGTTGCTAATGTGGTACCAATTTTCAAGAAAGTAGATACTGTAGATCACTTGCGTCAAACTATCGGCCAGTTAGCTTAACGTCTATTGTGGGGAAAGTTACTTGAATCGATACTAGCAATTGCAAATGCCATTTGTCTTCATCTTGAAAAACAAATTGATTAATGATCCACAACGTAATTTTACAAATGGTCATTCATGTTTAAAAAATTTGCTATCATTTTATTCCAGCATAATTGATGCAGTTGATAGTGGTAAGGTTTGTGATATTGTGTACCTTGACTTAAGCAGAGCTTTCGATGCATGAAAGACTGATTCAAAAGTTACTCACGGTATTGGGGGCACTATATAAAGTTGGATTAGAGCATGGCTATACCAAAGGAAACAGTATAAATGGGGTTAAGTCAGAGTGCAAAAATGTTGTAAGTGGAGTGCTTCAAGGCTCTGTTATTCATAATACAGTATATATAAATGAGTTAGATTCAGGATTGAGCAGCAATATTTGCCAATTTGCTAATGATACAAAAATCGGGAGGGAAATAAACACTGAAAAAGACTGTCACTTCAAGACGAACTAAATAGGGTTTTGAAATGATCAAAAGATTGGCAGATGCAGTTTAATGGTGACAAATGTAAGGTTTTATGGCTAGGTAATGATGATATAGTTACAAGATATGAGCTAGATGGTGTTGAGATTGCGAAGTTGGATTACAAAAGGGATTTGGGAGTTACGATTAGTAAGAATTTAAAACCAAATATCGATGTATAAATGTTCGTAATAAGAAAAATAGGACACAGATTTATTAATCTCAAGTGTTACTAATATGACACCTAGTGTTATTTATCAGCTGTATCTTGCTCTGGTTATGTCCCATTTAGATTATGCAGTTCAGTTTTGGTCGCTGTACTATAGAATGGATATAAATTCACTAGAACCCGTCCAGCGTAGTATGACAGTTAATCCCACAAATTGGAAACCTGTCAAGATTGACAAAACTTGAATTACATTGGCTGGAAAGAGTTAGGGGTAAATTGATAGATGTGTGCAAGTGTATGAATGGATATAACAAAGGGGCTATCAATAGGGTATTAAAAGTATTAACACAAGACAATACGAAACAATGGGTCTAAATTAGATACGGTTAGATTTAGGAAAGACCTGGATAAATACTGGTTCGGTAACAGAGTTGTTGATTTGTGGAACCAATTACCACGTTACGTGGTGGTGGGGGTCCCTTGATTGTTTCAAGCATGGGTTGGACATGTATATGAGTGGGATTGGGTGGTTATAAATAGGAGCTGTCTCGTATGGGCCAGTAGGTCTTCTGCAGTTACCTTCATTCTTGTGTTCTTAAAACTGGAATGAGGCACCTATAGTGTCTCCCATACCAAAACTGGAAGCTAGCCATATGGTTCAATAGCACCACAAGATGGATGAATCCAGTGATAATGAACACTGCCTTAGCATTTTAGTAAGATTAAGCATTGCATTATTATAACAAATGTGGACTTGTTGGCAGTACTGTACTAAGAAGTATGAAGTGAGTAATGATCTGGGGTTATTAATTGGTGTTACAGGTAGTACAGTATCTTTTTTTTTTTTATACTATACACTTCTATACTAGCTGCTATCCATGTACTTATAACCAATATATTCATAACCCTTAATGTTATATGCCAACTTTGTGATACCTTTCATCCTTACTTGTTTAAACCACATTTAATTAATATAATTTTCCAATGCCATGCATACAATACCATGGTGTACTCTTCACCTCTTTCCCTTCAACCTTGTAACCATTTTCACAATGCCATCCTCACTAAGATTCATCTAGCATATTAAATCATTTAATATGCTAGATGAATCTTAGTGAGGAAACTTTTTATTTAGTAAGATTGGAAATTAGTGTAATTTGCCATTTCATGCAGTAAAATGGGGCTCGACTCCAACCACCCTATGTCCTTACCGTACCCCAAACTAATCGCCCTGCAAAGTTTTGAGGCTAAACCCAAGTACCTGCCCTGTAACCTCAAAAACACACACATTTTCTCTTATATAGATAAGGCACGAGTTTGCATGACTAGATGGTAAAATGTGCTTTACTCTAAAGTAAATGTGAACATGTAGTCAGCACACAGTACAAATTCAACTGATTGTTCATCTTCTGTTAAATATAGTATTTAGAATCTGTCATTGCAAGGACAAAGTTGCCCACTACAGTGCATAATTTCAAAGTGAAATATTTTAACAATTTATTATACTGTACAGTAATTGGAAGGAAAAGTTCAGTTAATATCATCTGAGTATGGATGCGTACATCACGACTGTATGCCATTTCGCAGGAGGCATCGTATGGACCCAATACTTAAACTGAAATTCATCAGCCTGTTATCCAAAAATGTGGGTACCTATCGTTACAGTGGATGGAAGTACAAAAATATATGGACTATTGCACCTGAAAAAGGTCAGTTTTGTACAGTACTGTACTGTTAGTTTTTTAGAGGATCGGATTCTTACAAATGTTGTGTATGTTAGGCCTAGGTTAGATTTATGGTTACTGTTTCGCTTTTTGTTATGCCCTTATAGTATGGTGGTTGTTGCTCCATGAATGTGTGTTTAACCTTGTCCGTTAATACATGATGTAGCTAAGCTTGCATAATTTTCTTCATGACCAACCAAAAAAAAAACTTGCCAGATATCTGAACTTATATAAAAGGTGTGGGAGACGCCACCAGACAGGAACTGCCTGTCCTCAGCGTGGCTGCTATTCCACCAATTTCAACATGGGGTATTTCCACTCGGAAACGTACAGCAACTGTCAAGTCTCACCTATGGTGACGCTTTAAGCTCAATCATTTCCTGCAGAAAAAAACACTATATGCACCTCGTGTAAAAGAAATTACGGCCTTTCTGTGCTAAAGGGGTTATGAATATGCTCATTTAATCATTATAGTCAAGGTTATGAATTGGTGAGGGCAGTGACCACCATGAGAAAATGTTTTGCCACAGTGCAAGACCATTGCACCAGCGCCAGACTCAATATGGTGTGGGGAGCTCTTCATACACCAGCCTTTTGTGGCCTCTCGTCCTGTCTTAATATTTTAATTATAATTAATTTATAATCTTAAAAAAAAAAATTAGGTCCACACGAAGTTACAAAGAAGCTATGGATTGAGGACCATGTGTGTGCCCTTGTAATGTCTGAGTTAAGAGGGTGAGAACAGGTGGTGTTATCAGCAGGGGCTCCCAGCGTCTCCACAGGTGCTACACTTGCTCGCCCCCAGCAACACTACGGGTATATTAAAGACCTACACTCGTCAGTCATCACCAGTCATCACTGCTTCCTCGACATGCTGCTGCTCGTTATTTCTCTTCTCGTCGCTGGTACGAATTAATTGTTTAGTGTTAATATTTGATATATTTTATTGTTCTAATTTAACAGCATTCATTGTTATTAACGGCCCAAAAATACTGGTATTTTCATGGTATAGTTATCTATATATATAAGCAGTTATAATGTAGGCTAGCAGACGTTGAAAATGGCAGGCTTTCATTGCAAGTGTTTATATATGGTTGCGGGGCTCTATACTGAAATGCACAAAATATTTAATGTTTCCAAGAACCAAAAATATTTTAATTTGGTATACAAGTTTAAGCTGTGATTGTATTACCATATGTATGTAAGGGCGTACGTTGCTCCTCTCTGCTGTCAGCGCAATAGTATATTAGGCGCCCTCTAAATTTAAGCTTTCCCCTCCTCCTGTAATGTTATGATAGCTTAGTACTGTATATGTCAGTAGTTAGCCGATTCACACAAGGAACTTTTAACAAAATTTGGTCTCAAAATTGCACTATGACAACCGACATATCTTGCATTTGTCAAACCTCGCAGCTTGGGAATGTTATACAGAGAACGTTCACGAAGAAAGTGAGCTGACGTTCAGTAATTATATTTAATATTGAAATATGGTAGAAAAAAAATTTACGAGCTATTCATGCCCGTGCCACCCTAATAATGAATAGTCTTAAACTGATCTAGGCTGCTCGTCGAACATATTGCATAGTATCCCAAATTTTCGTAGCTATAGGCTACACAATAAACAAAATTGGTGATAGCACATTGAGTACCGTGTCATTGTAAATATGAAATGAATCCTTCATGTGTGGGTAGCCGTGAGTGCAGGGCCCGGCTACACCCGTGTCTTTACTGACCTCGACGGCAACGGCAACTACCTCGACTTCACCGACTATGAGCCTGACCTCTTGGCAGATGGCTTTGACAATGCTATCGACAGTGTTCTACAAACAGGCATGTAAGTACCAGCTACTGTATATGAAATATCATATATGAATAGCATTTTATATACGGTATTTTATGTGAAGGTTAGGTAATATAATAATTGAGATCGTTTTATCCTGGGTAAGGTGAGTAGTTCGACCTTCAGGAGGAGAGGGGGGGGTAGGTTTCGATAGAAGACTAAAGAATATATGTATACAGGTTTCCTGTCCGCGACAAAACGAGTTATTAATGAAAAACTTCCCAGTTAGCAAATTTACTTTGAAAGCTGTCTTGACCATTAGTCCCCCAACAGAATCTTAATGACTTTAGTCACCTCTAACATGTCATTTAAATCAAACATTAATATAAGAACAAAATTTCTTCATTCAGAAGATATTCTACTACTTCAACTCGTCAAAAAAATCGCCCTTTCGCGAAGGCTGGCAGGAACTAGCACATGGTATATAGTCTACACCTCTTGTGTACGATCACGTAGCACTTGGAAAGCTGTAGCTTCTCCAAGTAGCTTATAGGAACATGTAAATATTGCCTGAGTAGCGAGTGTCATGCCGTATCACTCTTCCATTATTATGTTTAAATCTGAATATTTTGTAAATTGAGTTTAATTTTTGTGGGTTAGTGTTAGTTTGACAACTGCTCTCTCTGTTCATATTACCCGCAGACTAATTCATTTTCTTCAGAGTCAATTTCATGGCAATTATAAATAATATAAATGGTACAATTATAATTGTTGTACAGTACAATTATAATTTGGGTGGACAGTACTCGGGGTTCGTAGTCCTAAGGGTCCGGGTTCGATCCCCGGGGAAGACGGAAACAAATGGGCAGTGTCTCTTTCACCCTGATGGTCTGTTCACTTAGAAGTAAATAGGGACCTGGGAGTTAGACAGCTGCTACGGGCTGCTTCCTGGGGAAGTGTGTGAAAATTATGATTAAGGACTTGCCTGAAACGCTATGCCTGCTAGTGGCTGTACAAGAATGTAAGAACTCTTGTATGCAATTTGTATATGAGCGGCTGTTGCCCAGTCTGGGTTTTGAATGTTGAAAGTAAGCTGGTTAGGTGACCGGGCTGACAACTTTGCCCTTGGCTAAGGAAACCCCAAAGATTATATATAATGTCATACCTGTACGACAGAGTAGCAGAAATATATCCCGGTCCTACCGCCGTCGAGGGTAGAAATAGCCTAAGCTACTCTATGCTTTTGAGATGTACTTCCTTTTCTATATAAACTTACTTGAACCTACCGCCGCTACAATCTGGTGGCACTAATTCCTCAGGTGGATGTACTACGAGAACACCGACTACAATGTGCAGGCCGGCAGTGTGTACTGGGTGCATGGCATAGACATCGGAGTCAACTTCCCCAACGATTACATTGATATCGTGAGTTGTAATTATGAACAATGGGAGAATGAATGAGACGACAAAAGTGGATTCCTAATGCTTACAATATGTTAGAAAGATGAGAACTAAAGCGATGAAGTTGGATGTATGAATGACGGAAAACGTTTAAACTTACAATAACACATTTAAAAATTTTTGTTCCTGTGTGGTGTTATTCTCTGATTTTTAAGGCCTCCTTGGTATTGAAAATGGCAATTATTCCCTTATAAACTTTCCTTTAACGTTTGCCTAGGGCAGCTTAATTAGGAAAGACGTCTTGAAGGCTGGCGACGTCTTATCTAGAGCTGTGACACATTGTTGCATAAGTCGGCAGCTTCAGGCACCTTCAAGACTCCTTCCCTAAAGTGTTTGAGGCAAAGATCAAAGCAAAGTTAACTGGAATAATAATAATTTTGTTTTATACTTTGGAGGCATATAAGCAAACAGATAATAACATCTAGCCAGAAAAAAACAATAATAATAATGTTAAACAAATTAGATACGTCCATGTGCTGTACATAAATACATAAAATTGCGACATATGTTAAAGTATGTGTGTACACATTAATAAACAGTATCTATGAAATACATAAATACATATATAATTATATAATATATTGCTGTTACCCTATATTATAGATCTGCAAAACTTTCTCATATTCCGAGGACTTTCAACATAAATGTGTCATTTAAAAGTACAGGTAAGTTTGGAAACCGATTAAAAACTCGTCATCCTCTACTATATGGTTGTATATACTAAATCAAATCCTATACAATAGTTGTTCAGAAACTTGTGTCATGCAAACAGGTAAAGCTTTTGATAAAGTAAAACAACACATTCTGTAATCAAACATGATAGTTATCACGTGCTTTGGACACAAGATATCATGTTCACCCAGGTGACTGGAACAATGCTAATAGTAGATGTAATCATGAAAACCAGTCTCACGGCAGAGATGCCTCGTAATTATTGTCCAGAGCTGAGGAGTGTACCATACATGGAACTCTACATCCAACAAAAATTATGTGGTTTATAGCTACTATGGCTGTACAAAATACTGTATGAACTTTCAGAAAAAAAATCACCCTTTGTACCACTGAAAAAAAGTGGGACACTTAACTATAAACCTAACCAAACCTGTCTTGCATTTTCTTCTATAGTAACTATAGGTTCTATAGTTTTTGGATTAGAGGCTGCTCGGAAATCAATGTCAGTGTTGTGTAACGAACCAGCAAGAGCCATAGGTAATCAATATTAATCCACCGGCTCACTCCAGACCTCGTCGCTGCGGTATGCTGGGAGTCCCTACGTACTGAACGATGACACTTGGACAGTGTACGAGGGAACGTCCTTCGCAGGGAGCGAGTATTATGGAAGCTACGACAGTGACTCCCTGGGCAACCTGGCAGGCAAGGTCTCCTCCCTCATCCTCACCGGTGTCAGCCCATGGACCATCTACAGGTGATGAACTTCCGCAATACTTACCAACCTTAGTTTCCCAGTTTTTATTGAAAATTATCATCTATATAAAATATAATGTTTGTCCAAAGTACGAAGTCAGACGCTTGAGGCTAGTCTTGCCCAGCTTTCAAAGATAACACATGGAAGGTATCCATGTTATAGGTCAGTCAGAGTCAGCCCCAATGCCACCTATTAAGAAATATTGGCATCTATACCGGCGCCCTACGATATTCATGAAGTCTGAAATCTGTATTTTTAGTAGTGTTAGTGTTTCCAATTTCATTTTTTTGAGAGGTAGGGAAAAACAGGGGAAGAGGGAGAATGTTGGGAAAGGGGCGTTGTTAGTGGAGAAAGTGAGAGGGGAAGATGAGATTGAGGATAGGGGGAAGGAGTTGATGATATGGGAAAGAAATGAGAAAGGGGGGAAAGAAGAGAGGGCGAGAGACCCGGGCACAGCCGGATACCCCATTTAGCAATATTATATATATAACCATATTCACAAACTAATACTGTAGAGTGTAAAAGTTCACACCAGGACACAAAGGGTGTGCGTGTGCTTATTGTGACTCACATTTACACTCCTAGCCCTACTACCAGCATTGACACCTCCCTCCATGTTCTCCCTGCAGTGGTGAGAACTTTTCGGGTGACAGTCTGTGCGTCTACCCAGACACGGACCACGATACTGGCGCCGATGGCTCCGTCCTTGACTTCGGCATCTTCCCCAACGTAAGCTATGTTTCTTCCGTTCCCTTTTGTTAATCTACATAGCCTATCCTGCGTACTCGCCAATTTGTGCTTGTGAGGATAACCTACCCACCTCATGAGTAGGTCATCCTCACTACCTACCTTAGAGGTAGGTTTGTTATTTTTGCCAATATTTCTATAGTAATGATTCACAAGACGGAGCTGATGTCAAGGAGTGAATGGACAAGAACAAGTTAGTGAATTTCCGCCCTTATACAGGGTGACCAAAATCATGGATAACTAGGTACAATAATAACACAATATATCCTTGTGTCCCTTTACAGCAGCTTTATCCTGCACACTCACTTATGTCTTCTCATTCTCTACTCACTGCAAAGCAATCTGCCTATTTACTCTACGTCTAATATTTTCCACTTCAACGATGTTTTTTTTTCAACGAAGCCTATTTTAGCTTATCCTTCTATCTCGGCGGTATTAGTTACCCATGTGTGTACTCGCTCTTGGTGCGTGTCTTGGTGTGATAATGCAGCATGTTGACCTCTCCTCCGGTTTTGCAGATGGCGTCCCTGGGTATCAACGACAACAGCATCTACTCTGTAAAAAAGGGGTGCTGGACAAAGAAGGTTATCAACGCCACCAAGTTACACGTGGACGGCAGGCTCAACAACGGTGCCTGGGGTCATTTGGACCTCTAGAGCCTAGACCCCCTCCCCCCCCCCCACCTGGGGTTATGTGAACCTCTGCCTGTGGATCACTTGGACTTCTAGACCTTCATATTATATTCGGACAGTATCTTATCCTCTAGAACGAGATATTACTTGCCGCTATATAGATGTCATTTCCGAGCCTTCTTTCACTTGTTAGCATTATGACCTTTTTTCCGGGTGACAAAGGTCAGCTGTTAGCTTCACCGTAAGACGGGCAAATTTCTGTTATTTTTGTCATTTAGGAAAAATGGCCATTGAGTCGCTATATTTAATAATATATATTTTTGGCATAACTAAGTATTGGTATTTGCTAGGATAACTAAAAATGGATTTAATAAAAAAAATTGTAGCTGCTGTTATTTGCGTTCCTTACATTATTTGACCATGAAGATGCGTTGTCAGACCGCGAAGGAAGGATAAAGCAGGAATTTACTTTCGTATTTAATAATACATCTTCAGAAGGATATATATTTGTGTATGTAAAATAAATACACACATGCGTTGCGCGCTCGTTGTTTCTTATTTTTAATATATTTTCAAAAGAATAAAACAGAGTTATAAAATAATTTTCGCAATGATTTACATTCTTGTAACTCAACAAACATGCAGAGTGAGATTCTGACCGAAGTGACTAATTTTATATTAAGCAACACACACACACACACATATATATAATTATGTGTGTGAATTATATATACATCTAGTACACACAACACTTACGTACAACTAGTTATACTCAATCATGGAACTACGTAAGTTATTAACCTAAATCCTACACCTAGTATTACACCTCTCAATCCCACACTTAGTGTCGGAAAACCCGACACCATTTACTAATATAAAATACAATAAGAAGATAATATTGCTGCTGTGTTGTATACACAAGTTGACCCATAGAAAATGTATCAGTGAAAATTTCCGTCAAAAGAAAACGAGATATCATTCCCACATAGGGCTATAAATTCGCCAGGTGTTCTGTAGGGAATTATTGTTAATACAGTAGTCTTTGGACTTATAACATCATAAAAACATCTCATTTGAATTAATTTAATTATCAGCTATCAAAATAGAGTAATTGTGACCCTTCTATCACTTATTGACATTCTGGACAAGGAGAGCCAGAGCGTCAGTAGGTGGAGAGAGGTCAGCCATTGTTAGACCAAGACGCTTGGGAGCGAGTTCAGCTAATTTTCACTAATAATGATGAATTGATCAGGAACATAATGATTACAAATACCTGTTACTCAGATCACAACTTAATTGAAGTTATGACAACCATGGGGAGTAGACCTTCAAAACCAGTCCAGATTCCCGGTGGAGGAGATTTCAGCAAATTCAACTTCAATAATAAACAGATAAACTGGGAGCGAATAAACCTGGGGCCAGATTCACGAAAGAACTTACGCAAACACCTACGAACCTGTACATCTTTTCTCAATCTTTGGCGGCTTTGTTTACAATTATTAAACAGTTAATGAGCTCCGAAGCACCAAGAGGCTATTTATAACAATAACAATAGTTGAATGGGAAGTTTTCATGCTTGTAAACTGTTTAATAAATGTAACCAAAGCCGTCAAAGATTGAGGAAAGATGTACACGTTCGTAAGTGTTTGCGTAAGTTCTTTCGTGAATCTGGCCCCAGGACTTCACAGAAATAAACTGGGAAGAACAGCTAGAAAATGCAAACCTGAACCAGTGCCTGGAAAAAATAAGCTCAGTAGCACTAGAAATATGTTCAAACCGCATACCTCTAAGAAAAAAGAGGAAGATATGTAGATTGGAACGGGAACGTCGTTCCCTATATAGGCGAAGAAAACGAATCGCGGAACAACTTGAGAGTCGCACCCTATCTCAAGAACGGTGAAGAAGGTTAGGTAGAGAAATAGAAACAATTGAACGGAAACTACAAGAATCATACAGAACCCAGGAGAGGCAAAGAGAGCAAAAGGCCATCAGTGAAATAGAAAGAAATCCGAAATATTTTTTCTCCTATGCAAAATCAAGATCAAAAACCACATCTAGTATCGGGCACCTGCGAAAGGGAGATGGAACTTTCACCGATAACAACAAAGAAATGAGCGAGCTACTGAGGACGCAGTACGACTCTGTTTTCAGCGAGCCATTAAACACACTAAAGATTGATAACCCAAATTAATTTTTCATGGATACGATACCAACATCAAATCATATATCAGACGTCACCCTATCCCCACTGGATTTTGATGAAGCCATAAACAGTATGCCTATGCACTCTGCACCAGGCCCGGATTCTTGGAACTCCATATTCATAAAGAACTGTAAAAAACCACTATCGCAGGCCCTCCACATTCTGTGGAGACAAAGCCTAGATACTGGCGTTATTCCTGATATACTAAAAACAGCAGAGATAGCACCACTTCATAAAGGAGGAAATAAGGCAGAGGCAAAAAATTACAGACCGATAGCGCTAACATCGCACATCATAAAAATTTTTGAGAGAGTGCTAAGAAGTAAAATCACAAAATACATGGAATCACAGCAACTCCATAACCCGGGACAACATGGTTTCAGAAGAGGGCGCTCTTGCCTGTCGCAGTTGCTGGACCACTATGATATGGCATTAGATGCTATGGAAGACAAACATAACGCGGATGTAATTTACACAGATTTCGCAAAAGCTTTTGATAAATGTGACCATGGTGTTATTGCACATAAAATGCGTTCAAAAGGAATTACCGGAAAAATAGGCAGATGGATCTACAACTTCCTGGCCAACAGAACCCAATGTGTAATAGTCAACAAAATAAAATCCAGCCCATCAACCGTGAAGAGCTCAGTCCCCCAGGGTACTGTGCTTGCTCCAGTACTTTTTCTCATCCTCATTTCGGACATAGACAAGAACACAACCTATAGCACTGTATCATCCTTTGCAGATGACACTAGGATCTTCATGAGAGTAGGCAACATAGAGGACACGGCGAACCTCCAGTCAGATGTAGATCAGGTCTTTCTATGGGCTACAGAAAATAATATGGTGTTTAACGAAGATAAGTTCCAGCTCATGCGCTATGGAAAAAATGAAAATATAAAAACGGAAACCACGTACAAAACTCAGGCAAATCATAACATAGAACGAAAAGGCAATGTAAAGGATCTGGGTGTACTCATGTCGGAAGACCTTACCTTTAAAGAACACAATAAAGTAGCCGTCACAACTGCAAGAAAAAGGACAGGTTGGATAACAAGAACTTTTCACACTAGAGATGCTATACCGATGATGATACTTTTCAAAACGCTTGTGCTCTCTAGAGTGGAGTACTAGCTGCTGCACAATGACAGCACCTTTCAAAGCTGGAGAAATTACTGACCTGGAGAGCGTGCAGAGATCCTTTACTGCTAGAATCCACTCAGTAAAACATCTAAACTATTGGGACCGACTAAAGAGCCTAAAACTGTACTCCCTTGAGCGCAGGCGGGAGAGGTACATAATAATTTACACGTGGAAAATATTAGAGGGGCTGGTCCCAAACCTGCACACAGAAATAACACCACATGAGACCAGAAGACATGGCAGGATGTGCAGAATACCCCCGTTGAAAAACAGAGGTGCAACTGGTACTCTGAGAGAGAACTCTATCAACATCAGAGGTCCGAGACTGTTCAACACGCTTCCACTACACGTAAGGGGCATAACTGGCCGACCCCTCACAGTGTTCAAGAGAGAACTGGATAAGCACCTCCAAAGGATACCTGATCAACCAGGCTGTGATTCGTACGTCAGGCTGCGAGCAGCCGCGTCCAACAGCCTGGTTGATCAGTCCGGCAACCAGGAGGCCTGGTCGACGACCGGGCCGCGGGGACGCTAAGCCCCGGAAGCACCTCAAGGTAACCACACTGTTTAGTGGGTTTTCATATTAATTTAGTAGTCTTGGATACAGCAGTGTCGTAGAGGTTGAGACGGAGCTTGGAGCAGAGAGCTGAGTGAGGCCGGAGTCGCGGTTGTTGTTGTTTTTGATTCAGCTACTCAGAACAAAAGTTACAAGTAGCATGGGCTATGGTGAGCCCGTAGTGGACTTACCTGGCACAGGAGTGACGCTGTGTATGTGTGGAGTCGCGGAGCTCTATGTGGGAGAGCGTTGTAGCTGGATGTGGTCCTAGTCTGCTGTCTGTTTCTGTGTCGAAGCTGTAGCGTCTTGGGGTCGATTAGAACTGCCTACGTCGAGTGCTACATTCTTGACTGTGGAAATTGTACTGTTGGGTATTCTCATATTGCTTGCTTATATTCGGTAATTACACCTCAGCTTCCTCCACTAGTATAGGTGGATGGAAGAACTGTTACCTCTAGTCCGGTCTGTACTGCTAATACATCTGGTGGAAGTTGATTGCTGGCTGCTCTCTCTGCAAACCTGGTTGCCAGTACTTCGGCTTCCTGTTGAGGATCCTTGGGGTGTGGAGCTTTAGGTGTTTTATTCCCTTTGGCCCGGTGAATTTGCTGCCACATCTCCCCGAGAGGGGTGTGTTCATTCAGGTGTGAACACCATTCCAGCCACTTTTGTTCTTTTATTTGTCTGGTCTCTCGATGTACATGTTCCTTGACCTCACAAAGTAAGATCCTGTTGCGGTCACTTGGCTGCTTTTGGTATAGCTTTCTTGTTCTATTGAGTCTATGGTTGAGTTCTTTGACACGTTCGCAATAGTACCAATGATCTTTATGGTGTCCGGTGGACTGTTTTTTCAGTGGGATTGAGTGGTTGGCTGCACTTTGAATCGCTTTGACAAATTCTTGTTCTGCCTGATTAATGTCTTCGGGAAGATCATAGTTTCTTTGCCACTCTGAAATGAGGTTTTGAAATCGGTCCCAGTTTGCTAAAGCAAAGTTCCAGGCTTCAGATGGAGGCGGAGGTGGGGTGGGTAGGTCTAACTGAAGATCAATTTGGACCCCATAGTGGTCGCTTGTGAGTGTGGGCTCAACTGACCATGTTGCTGCATCTCTTAGGGAGGCTGAAACGAAGGTTAGGTCTAATCTGCCTCCTTGGATGTGGGTAGGTTAATGTTTGATTGATTGATAAAGATTAAGCCACCCAAGAGGTGGCACGGGCATGAATAGCCCGTGTTAATGTTTGCTATTCTGCTGCTTATATGCTCGGGCAACACCTCACCGTGTTGCCCGGGCAACGCCTCACCTCATTCATCTCCAAAGGTTGACAGGAATATTAACAATGCATTTGGAGCGAGTATATTATTGGCATAATCTACTCGCTACAACTGTATTTATGTAAAATCTCCCTGTTTCTTCGGACATGGAACACGGAACCTTACATGCTCTCTGATTTACTGTTTAATAGAGATTCACAAATAAGCTTATGATTGTATACGTTATCAAAAAGGCAGTGACAAAGTCAATTTTGCATTTTAATCACAGAGATTAGATCTTAGTGAGATAGGAAAGATATTCATATTTTAAAGAAGGATTTTTGAACCATCGCTCTCCCTATCGATAGAAACTAACTTTTTTTTTTGTTATTATTAACAAGCTTAGGTATACACAGTAATGTGCTGCTACCCTATTCTATATGAAAGATTACACAGTGTATATCAAAAACTAGCTATAAGTTCATTAAATATTCCCATCTCACAGGATGGTTAGTTATACATGGAATCAGGGGATAAAATACCAGCCTCAATAAAAAAAATCAACTGTGACTAACAAGAACACCACTTACGGGCTATTCATGCCCGTGCTACCTTTTGGGTGGCTTAATCCTCATCAATCAATCACAAGAAACAAGGGATACATCTCCCGTCACGCAGGGTCCAGTCGCACCTCCACAGATCTCCAGTATCATCTATTGATACTGTTAATGGTTCAAGAGGACTACCACTTACGGGCCTACCTCAAGGTAACAATCAGGTGAGAACATAAAATATAAGGCTGATCTATTAGCCTCCGTTAGCAAAATCCGGGTACAGCATAAGAATATCTTCCAATATTCCTAAGTGTATGAAGTAATTACAGAGTTCAAAGTACCTTATACCATTTGGTCTGAAGTCACTTATAACAGGGCAATCACAGATATAGTGTTGGTGAGTATGTCCCAGCTCTTGTTCACATAGTTTACAATTGGAATATTCACCATTGGGGGCTATTCATTACCTGCAGCCACCTGCGATACATATCCTAGCCTAATTCTGGCAATTACAATGTCACACTGTCATTGTGACACTAGTGGAAGTTTTATGCTGTCCGTTCATATAATTCTCGATTCTAAACATGTTTGCTTAGTTTAGTTCATTAATTATGCACCCCATATATCATCTTGTGGGCGGTAGTGGAAAAGGTTACAGAGGCACATAAACATGTCATAGCTCTTTATACTCTTGCTTTCTGGCTTTTGTGTGTCAGTGACTGCTCTTCTGTCTTCCCTAATTTCCTAAAATATTGCGGCTTTGACAGAAGAGATTGGAATGCCCATATCCCACTCAACTTCAGGCTTATCACATTCAGTTTTAGCTGCCTTGTTTGTGTCATCATGCTGGACAACACCTATATGAGAAGGTATCCATACAAATGAGACTTTGAAACTCCTACTGTTTGCAATAATAATGTTGTTTATAATGGAAGTTACAACTACAACCTTTTGAAGATCAATGCTAATTTTATCTAGATAATGTAATAAACGAAAGTTTTCTATGTCAACAGAAAGGCAGAAATATAAGCTACACTTTAAATACTTGTCATAAATATAACAAGTGAAAGCGAAGATATATGCATTTGATACTGTACAGTTTCTTGATGGCTTGCTCTAAGAGTGTGAAGCCCTTCACACCAGCCTATAAATTGTGTAATTTATTTCCATATATGCTAATTAACCTTAAAATCTATATGTCAGAAGGAAGGAAGATGTAGACGTTAATGTGACAACATTTCAAGAACTATCTCTCTCTTTAAAGTTAAATAATACAATCCTATCGCCGGTGTCCGGACACATGAATAATAATAATAATAATAATAATAATAATAATAATAATAATAATAATAATAATATTTTATTTAGGTAAGGTACATACATACAATAAATTTTTACAAAGATTGGTTGACTTATAGGTAGAGCTAGTACATACAATGCCTAAAGCCACTATTACGCAAAGCGTTTCGGGCATGATAAACTTAAATGACAAGCTTAATACTAATTGAGCATAATGAGTAGATGAAAACAAGAAATGAAAACATAGATGAAAAAGCAGCACAAATACAAATATGTCGACAAACAGCGCTCTTTAAAGAAAAACAGACATTGGTTGACAATAGAAGGGTAAGGTAGGTTACAGGGAATTTATTAGGTATAGCTTCGTTTTTAACTTAAACTGGTTGAGAGAGGTACAGTCTTTAACATGGTCGGGAAGGTCATTCCACATTCTGGGCCCCTTGATATGTAGAGCATTTCTAGTTTGATTAAGTCGTACTCTAGGAATATCAAAACTGTATTTATTTCTGGTGTGGTGCTCATGGGTTCTGTTACAACCTTCTATGAAGCTTTTGAGATCAGGATTGGCATTATAGTTTAGCGTTTTATATATGTATAATACACATGAGAGAATGTGCAGAGACTTAATGTCTAACATATTCAGAGATTTGAGTACGGGTACCGAGTGATGTCTGGGGCCAGAGTTGGATATTGTCCTAATAGCAGCTTTGTGTTGAGTAATTAGCTATGAAATGAAAGCTACTTAGGTATCAGTGGCCAGCCAGGTGGAGATCACAGGCTGTACAATACTGATAAATTATGTAATTCACAGAGATACGTTGATAAATATTAATTTTTATATTTTATTAAAAATACTGATATATACTTTGTTTCATACGTTAAATGTAACAATATTTCAGTATATATTATATAAGCATAGTATATATAATTCAGTATATACAATATATAATAAGAGTGTCAGACCACGGAGGAAGAATTGAAACAGGAATTTCCTTTAGTACTTTCTTATATTAATACATCTTCAGAGCAAACCATTCCTTCTGAAGATGTATTAATATACGAAAGTACTTAGAGCATTCTATTGTGGTTTTAATATTGAACAATTATACATATACGAAACAGATAAATCTGGTGTCCGAAATAGTAAAAATATTAGTGTGCGATGTGATCAATGTAAGGGGGATATTGGGTGTGCCTCGTATCCCCTACAACAACAAGAAGTTCGAGAGCGATGAGGCCGCCACCTACTAGCTTCAGGATGTCGTCGAATCTAAATCAACAATATACTACCGCCGCTACTTTCTCGGAAACGTAAGTACCTGCCGCTTTACTTCTCTCACCCTGCCTAGCCTGGCCTGACCTGGCCTGGCCTGACCTGGCCTAGCCAGACCTGACCAGACCTGACCTGACCTGGCCTAGCCTTACCTAGCCTAGTCTGACCTGGCCTAGTCTGACCTGACCTGGCCTAGCCTTACCCAACACTAATCACCACACGTGACAGCCCAAACGAATCGCAAATAAGTACACGTAACAAGTCATATGCCCGGACACACTTTCACCTTGGGGACTGAGTGGTAACTGTTGTATAGAAGAGCCGGCTCCCTGAGAGTGGTAAGAGGGCGTGATAAGAGGCTAACGTGTGGTCTTGAAGGAAGTCGATAAAGCAGACAATTTTCAAAAGGAAGGGCAGCATAACGAGCAGACAGGAATGGACAGACAGTCGGTTATCCCATAATGTGTAATACGCCCCGCACAGCATGGGTGGAGTGGGGGGGCGGGGTTGTAGCAGGGCACAGTATGGTGATGGTGCGGGTGAAGTACACACCCACTGAATTCCTGCCATCAATAATTGTTTTCATAACCATTAGAACAATGGCATCCCTCCAGCCACCATCCTTCCACTGACCCCCTCCTCTGGTCCTCCACCTCAGACAATAACCCCCCACACCCCCTCTCCCTTCCAGACATCAGCATGTCAAAATCAGTACCATAATGTGTTTAAACTATTTAAACTAAGTCATTGTGTATCTCAAGGTATCTTAATTCATTTGAAAGTGTACATGTGCATTCGTTCATATACTCGCCTAATTGTGCTTGCTGGGGTTGAGCTCTGGCTCTTTAGTTCCACCTCTCAACCGTCAATCAACAGGTGTACAGGTTTCTGAGCCTATTGGGCTCTATCATATCTACACTTGAACCTGTGTATGGAGTCAGCCTCCACCACATCACTTACTAATGCATTCCATTAGATATAATCATATATGATTACACATAATCATAATCATTCTATACACATAATCATATATGTGTACGTCAACGTATACATACATGCGTATATATACCTCATATTAAAATACTGATAAACGAATGACCATGAACAAATTAATTTATAATTGTAGCATTATATATAATTTTAATAGACTAATTACGTGTTTATACATTTGAATGGTCCAGACAGGTGGCCAGCCTTGGACATATACACTTCTGGTAGGCACAATGACCTCATGTTAGACCCTTGATAGATTATGTGAGAGAGAGAGAAAGCTGGGGCAGGGAGGTGCATGCCCCAGGGAGATAATCCATGCCCATGCCCCACCTCGAGGTCAGTTCTCGAGTCACACCAAGAATAACAATCGAGCAAGTTGTCCTGACCAGGATGTGGCATATTAGGGAGGGTTGAGGAATAGGAAGCCTGTCTGATAGGGCTCTTGGCAAGCAGCTCTCCCTCAGTCTACCTATCTATATGGAAGAAATGTATCTAGGCCCTCCTCCCCCCTGCCTATTCTCTCTCCCCCACCTTTCTTCCTTCATTTCCTCCCTCCTTCCCTCCCCCTCACTGGTGAGAGAGTAGGAGTGTGAGAGTAGTTAGAGAACTCGTAGTTCTCACGCTCGTGAAATTGTATGCGACCCTGGAGGAGTAGAACGGAGGGGGGGGGTGAAAGTAGGTGACGATGGAGGAGTAGAGGGGAGCATTATATGCAGTGAACGTAGGTGTCTATGGAAGAGTACATCATAGAGGAGGGTGAAAGGAAGGTGACGATGGAGGAGGAGAAGGGAGGGGGTGTGAAGGTAGGTGATGATGGAGGAGTAGAGGGGAGGAGGGGGGCAAAGGTAGGTGTCTATGGAAGAGTACATCATAGAGGGGGGTGAAGGTAGGTGGCGATGGAGTAAAGCAAAAGGGGTGGGGGTTGAAAGTAATCCTGAGTTTAATTTTTTAGTTATATATAGTGACACCTCGGCTTACGAATGAATATTTATGAACTTTTCGGGTTACGAGCCTAATTTCTTCGAAAAATTTGAATCGGGTTACAAACTTTGCCTCGGGAAATGAGTTTGTTGATATACGTATGGGCTGACCTAGCGCGTGGTGGCATGGTGATCGCACCTCAGTTTACCAGTGTCTCCTGCCTAGTAACTATCGCGCCTGAATTCTTTATAAAGCATTACATTTGTTTTGGGATTTTTGGCTATTTGAACATAAAATTTGTTATGATGTATCTTGCCATGAGTCCCAAGAAAGCCAGTGGTAAGGTTCAAGCCAAGAAAACACATGTGAGAATGACCATAGAGGAAAAACAAGAGAGCATTCATAAACATCAAAATGGTGCACTGGTTGTTGAACTAGCTAGGCAGTACAACAAATCTATGTCAACAATATGCACTGTACTTGCTAAGAAAAAGGACATTATGAACATTAAAGTGGCAAAAGGCATATCAACAATCCCGAAACAAAGAACACAAACACTTGAGGATGTTAAAAAGTTTTTATTAATTTGGATACAAAACAAGGAGTTAGCAGGTGATACCATTTCAGAGGCCATCATTTGTGAGAAACCAAGGCATTTGCATGAAGACCTTTTAAAGAAAACCCCTGGAACGAGGGGTGGGGAAAAAGATGAATCAAGTTTGAAAATGTGAAAAGTTTGTGTGACAATAGAGCCTCGTGGAAAACTTTTGCTGTGGTCATTACCTGGTGGAATGCACCCAGGATGGAGTATTAGGGCTATACATCTTTTAAATCATAAAAGTAATAAACATTTCCCATCAACCTTACAAACAATATTAACCTATTTTCATGTATTTCCCCCATGTGCATTTTAACAAAGTTGCTAAATTGCCTTTATCATTCTGTAAAATTTCAATTACAGTATACTGTATGTATAATTTTGTTAGTATAAATGGACTGAATATTCTGAAATTGCTATTAATTTTACAATTTCAGATTCAAAGGTGGTCTGGACACCCAATTTGGTCAGACAGGTGAAGAGAGCATTTAGGATAGTTCGAAGAGATGAAGATGGTTGCAATTGTGTTCAAAGAGGCAAATGCCCCTCTTTGCTCCTGACATTATGTTCAACCATTGACCTCTGCACACCTAACACAAGGTAGGTTGAAAACTCCTCATTCATGTCATTGGTACATTAGCCAGAAACTCAGGGCTCATGTAGGAATATCCCTAAAAAAAAAAAGTGGCCCCAACAATGCATCCTCCAAGTCTGGAGGATGAGCAGGAGCATTGTCGAGAAGCAGGACCTTGAGTGTCAAACTTTTCTCTTGCAGATATTTTTTGATGGCAGGGCAAACCACTCCACATCACAGTTTTTCTGCACGTTATATATTTTTTAAAACTCTTGGATTTTCGGAATGATACACGAGCAAGGGTTTAATTTTCAAATCGCCACACAGCACAAGAGTTAGCCTATCCTGACACAAGTTAGCTTGTGTCCGGGCAGTGACGTCTCCTCTTGGGTAATGTATGTCCTCTTCGGCAATTTTTTCCAGAATAGCCATGTCTCCTCACAATTAAACACTTGTTGTGGAATATATCCATCAATACAGTATCTACGAAATCTTTAAAATCACGAACAAATCTTTCAGCCCCTACTTTGTCTGAGCTGGCACCCTCACCATGCCTCACAACACTATGAATACCACGTCTTTTTTCAAAATTTCTCAAACCATCCCCTACTCACCTTAAACTCTTTCGTATCTGCAAAACTCGTTCTAGGGGTTTTCTTTATAAGATCTTGCATGAAGATTTCATTGTTGACCAAACCACACACTGGAAATTGAATAGACGACGACATTTCGATCCGTCCTGGACCATTATAAAGTCGATTGTGATGAGATGAGGGAAGCAAGAGCATTAAGTAGGCAAGAGAGAGAGGTGAGGAGATGGCAAGTATGTATGTATGTACATGAATAAAACATGTACATACTTATACATAACGTGTGTAAATAGTGTAATAAACACAATAACAGTATTTTGGGAGGAGGAATGTTGGCGAGTAATGTGTTGGAGGAGGGAGGGAGGACTGGCAGGGTGTGGCAGCTCACTCATGTTTTTTGGGCTCACCATACCAACATAGTGGATCGTTATGGTGAATACATACGTAGATGGGTATATACAATGTGTGTATATAGTGTAATAACAGCAAAAGCACTGTTTGATTGTAGAATATGTCGCATATATGAGGCCCATAATTTTGAGCATAGCGATGTTCTATACTTTGAATTATATAAATTCCACAAATTACACACTTTTAAATAATATTACAGCAAAAAAAAAGAAGAAATGAATGAGAAACTTCAAAATAATTGTGCAACATTTTATTCGCAGCAACTGCCGTCGCACGGGGTGGCGGGGCCGACAGACCCCCATCGCTCCAACGCTCAGCGCCCATAATTTGCTCAACTTCCCAGCTCCATCGCAGCTAAAGTAAGTCACATACAATATTTTTTGTTTAGTTTCCCCGTGATCAGACTCTGCATTTTAACAATATAAGAAGAGAAAAAAAATTTTGGAAAGAATTTATTTCTTGTGCACCAGGGTGTTATTTGGAGACAGAGCAGTTCAGTGGTTAACTACTAAATTTTTTTTTCTCCCACACACGCATCCCCCTAGGAAGCAGCCTGTAACAGCTAACTCCCAGATACCTATTTACTGTTAGGTAACAGGGGTCATCCCCTTTTGTACAAAGAATCTGCTAAAGCTTTTAGGGCTAATCTTTGACACTCGTTTGTCTTTGTCGCCCCATATTTTCTGGGGGGAGCCCCGTCGGCTCCCCGGAGCTTTACCGGCTGATATGCTAATGTCAGACTTTGGCATCAGTCATGTGTATGGAGTTCTAGGGCCTACCGGGGACCACGAGCCAGAACCTGGCCCCCTCAGAGAGGCAAGGGGAGCAATGGCCTATAGAAACCCCCGTGTGGTTGGAAGCATTCTATGTCTGCCATCGACCGGGTCAAGCATCCAGAAAGGTAAGCATTCCAAAACAAACCTTTATTCTGGTGAAAATTGCTACCTAAGCCAAACTAGTGGATAGAACTCTTCAACAGAAAACAAGGAAACTAGTATGGCGTCATACGTCACCGGGCCGCTGTCTGCGCAGCTCCCCCCTCCCCGGGAGGGGGAAGGGGGAGCCCCAGACCTCCCACGCCGGCTATCCACCCATCAGTTCTTCGGCTGATGCTATAGGCAATGGTTATGTGCTCCGGCTCCAGTGGTTGTTTCAGCACTGTACCTAGAGTGTGGTGTCTGTTTTCTAGGTGGTGCGTGAGCCGGGAGTGATTCTTCAGTACTCGGGCTGCATGCGCCTAGGGATCCCTTCCCTAGGTGCCCTGTAAGTACTGCCCTTGGGGCCACCTTCCACAAGTTCCTTGGGTCCTGCCCCTGCTTGGCCGTTTACTGCTTGGTTTTCGGCCGCTCTTTGTGTGCTCGGGTGTTCTGTCTCCCTTGTTCGCCTTAGAGTAAGGGGCAGTGTTTGCACTGGTGGGGCGCGGGGTACTGTGCAGCTTGTCTTTACCAATCATAGCGGCCGGCTCTGTTCCGCTTGGGTACGCTGTCCTCTTGCGGGGTTTTTCTTTTTCTTTTTGTTTATCTACCTGGTGGGGGGGTCTGCCTTCGTTCTTGCCCCTTGTGTCCCTTGTGTTCTGACTATTTTCTGGTGGTACCCCTGCTAGGTCCCCATGAGTGTACACGTCCCGGGGGTTCAGCTTAGAAAGTTGTTTGGTAGCTCTGGGTGCCGGTTAGCAGTACCCTGCCTGGGATTACCTGAGCGCGAGTCCTCTTAAAGTAAACGCTCGGGACCCTGGGAAACTCCTGGGGGCGCGCGGGTCCGATGGATGTGACCCCAGAGCCCCCCCCTCGCTTCCAGCGAGTTTGAGGGTTGCTCTCACCTTTTGTCTCTGGGTGACTCTCTGTTTTGCCTCCGTCTGCTGCCTGTGGGGTCGGTGACACCTTCGACCCGGAGTCCTGCGAGTTTGGTTGCTTGTTGTGGCTCGGTTACCCAGTTGTGCTAACAAAGCGGGTGCGGGCAGCAGGGGCGTTGCACTTGAGCCTTGGTGGTGGCAACGTTCTCGTGGTTTCCTCCCCGGGAGCCCCGGGGCTGCCCCGTTGTAGTTCGTTTTGGGACTTGGGGGTGTTGGTTGCTTCGGTTCCATCCACGCCCCCTTGTCTTTCCCCTGGTTCACCCTTCCTGCCTGCATCCGGTTCCTTACCGTCTGTAGGTTCGGGGCGGGGTTTTTGGTGGTGTTGAGACTCGGGCAGTCTCGGGGAATTCCCCTTCCGGGGTAGTGACGGGGGCATTTGGGCCTGTTCCTCCAGCCGTGTTGTATGAGTCTGCCAGTGGGCTCCCTTCCTTAGTGTTTTCACGGCTGCCCCGGTTTTCTGGTACGGCCGGGGCTTTGGGGGAACGGCTCGGCCCCGGGACCTGTCAGGTAGGTTCCCGGGGCTGGGGAGGGGCTGACTTGGGGGGGCCTTGGCCCCGTTAGACCCCGTGGGGGGTTTTATCCCCCTCTAGGCGGGGCTTGTGGTTACGCGGAGTGGGGTCTTTCCTCCCCACTCGCCGTACGTGCTGTTAGACGTCGGCCCCTCCCCGGGCTCGGTTCCTTGGCCTTTGAGTCGGTTGGTTCCATCCTGTGGGTGGATGTTTCCTCCCCCCCCTTTTTGGGACGGTGTTTTTGTCATGTTTCCCCGTTCGATGGGGTTCTGCGTGACTTCTGATCTCGGGTGCGCCTGCGCCTTCGTGTGCCTTCGGGACTAGTGTTGGCTTCTGTGTTCTCGAGGGTACGGGAAGGTTTTTCGCTACTTCCCGCATTATTGGAACGTCTGTCGGCTCCTCGTACTTGTCGCCCGGTTGGGCTGCTTGTCGCCCGGTTGGGTTACTTTATGGGCTCTTTGCTTCTTTGGCCAGTTTTATTGTTCCTGCTTCCTCTTTTGGCTCCTTTTCTCGTGCAGTAGTCCTGGCTGGCGCCTTCCCGCAGGGAGGGTGTGCGGTTCGGCCAGCATGTTATGCGCATGCGCCGTGGAGTTTGTTTTGGTCTGGGCGGTGTTTCAGTGCTGGGGGTTTTGCGCCCTTTTTTGCTACAGTGCTTCGCCTCTCGTTCTTCTCCCTGGCTGCGGTATGTGCCCCTTCGCGCCGGGGGTGTCGTGGTTCCCAGTTGTGGGGAGGACACCACGGTTTTCCCTGTGTCATGGGTGTGGACCGCCTCCTTCGCCTCTCCCTGTTCTCCTGCGGGTCCGGCAGGGTCCGGCTCTGGCGTCTTCACCTGGCGGTGCTCCCAAGTTCTTCTGGGCACGGTTGAGTCGTGTCGAGTTCGTGCCACCATTCGCCAGGTGAGTTTCTGCGGTCTGGCGTCTTTTGGCCGGGCGCTGGATGCGGCGGTGTTTATATACCTGTCTTTATTTAGGTATATTTTTGTACGACTGAGACCGTTCGCACACCAGTGACTGTCCCTTTATCACCCCTTCCTGTCCCCCTCATGTGCATGTCCAACCGATGCTGGAGTCATTCAGGGGACCCTCCTTTTTTTATGTTGTGAGGTGTGGGGGTTGTAGGGTTGGTTCTGTACTCACCTGGTAGGGCTCCTGGCTGTGCTTGCAGGATTTGAGCTCTGGCTCTTGGGTCCCGCCTATCTGGTAGAACTTGCGGGATAGTACCAGTGGAGTGCAGTGGTGCTGTTGGCACTTTTGGGGTACACTGTATTACCATCAGTGGTCTGTGCTTGTTACACGACCTACTTGCGAGCATAAGCCTTCTTGCTGGTTCGTCCGTGGACTTCCAGGGCGCACTGGCCTGTTTTCGTATGGCAGTTCCGGCCCGTCCTGGTTGTGGGGGTATGTGGGCCGGTGGACTGCTCCTAGCAGCTGCCTGGTGGGCCATCCTCTGGCCGGTCTGGCCTGACCTTGGGCCGGGCTTCAGGTGTAAAAGAGCTCCCAGTACCTCATCCAGCAGGTATCGAGCGGGGTTTCTCCGCCGTTGGTCGCCTGGTGCAGGTTTCTGGGCCTGCAGGGTTTTGTCGTGTCTCCGTTGGCCCTGTCTGGGGTCTGCCTGCTCCGTTCTCTGCCTTTGCAGAGGGGAGTTGCTATTTACATGTTGCATGTTGCAGTGGTGCCTGTTGCTGCTGCTGCTGCACGTGTGCATTGGTACCGTGTTTCACGGTGGCGTGTCCTTGTTCCTGTGTCCGGTTGTGGAGTGGCACTTTGCTGCCGTTTTATGCCTGGGGATTGCGTGGGGTTTTTGTCCCTGCCTGATTGTCCACCCCTGGTTGTTCTCCTGGTTTTTTTTTTGTGCTTCTGCTCTTTCTTCCTGCCTCCTCTGCAGCAGGGATGTTCTGCGTGTGTTCTTAGGCGTTGGTCAGCCTGTGTCCTGTGATGTGCTTCTTTGTCTCGGTCTATTGCAGTTGTTCGTGCCCCTTGGTTCGGGTCCTGTTCTGGCGGCGACCCTTCCGCCTTTGGTTTTCCTAGCTTGCCCTGCCGGTTTTTTTTTTTTTTTTGGGGGGTCTTGCGATGTCTCGCGTCGGACCCGTCGTTTCTGATCTCCTGGCGGGCTTGCATGCTTTGGGGAGTTTTTCTGTTCGGCAGACGTTCCATCTCCTTGTGCCGCCTGGGTTTCGGTGGTCGCGCCCGAGATCTTCTCGCGGCTCCGCCTTTTCCTGGGCTCGGGGGGGGGGGGCCTTGTCGGGGCTGCTTCTGTTCTGCCTCGTGGTCTCGCCTCCGGTTGGTGGTCGGGTGGCTTCGTGGTAGGTGTCCCACCTGCGTGCTTCTCTTGGCGGCAGTATGGGGTATTTTGGCGGTCCTTCCTTTTCCTGTCCCTTCTTAGGTGGTTACTCTTGTTCGCTTGGTTTACTCTCGGCTTGGTTTTCTAGTGGGGGTTGGGGGCCGTCGTCTTGCCACATACTGTCGCCTCTTTTCGTGCGGCACAGGCGGAGCCGCTTCAGCTTGCTTTCGGTCTTGGTGTTGCTTCTGCACCGTTAGTCAGCTGTCTTGTGCGTCGTTTCACCTCCGGCCTGTTCGTGCGCCGCTTGCACCATCCTGGTCAGCGTGCTCTGTCTTCTCCTCGGTTGGTAGTGCCCCTTCGGTTCCGGTGTGTTTTTTCGTCGGCTCTTTCCTTTGGGCCTTTGCCTCTGGGGGTCGAGTCGCTGAGTTTTCTTGCTCCTTCGGTTTTAGCGTTTTGGTTGTTTGATGGCAGCAGTCTCCATCTTTTCTGGCACGTTTTTGTTCTCGTATTGGCATTCTTGGTGATATTTAGCGCCCTCTGATTATTTCGCACCTGGTGCCTTCTTTTGGTAATTACCTTACGTTCAGTTTCATTTTAATGTGGTAGTTGTGATATGGATTGTTCTGGCTCACGTGCAAGGTCTTGGATTTTTGTATGTTTTATATTAAGAAATTGCCAG